TCGAGAATCGATACTTGGTTGCTCTGGGCTCCCACCTGCGCCCCAGACGCCATGAAGCAGCCAGGTCTTGAGGGAACCGAGTCCTCCGGTTGTCGCGTTGCTTTGAGCCCTCACCCCAAAAGCGTGGGTCCTCGATCGATCCATCTTTCACGGGCTCTGGGATTGCCAGAAAACGACTCAGGACGAAAAGTGCGTCTGTGGGGGAAGGCCCTGGGATCCAGGACCCGTTTGCTCCAGGACCCTGGCATCGCTCGGACGTGTGCATTTTTTTCTCGGCGAGGGCCATCGAGGAGCATCCTTGATCAGTTGGCGAAAAAAACACGCGCGAAACCGAAAAAAAAAACACAGGGAATGGGCGTCCGAGCGATGGCGAGGGACCCGTCTGCTCCATGCCAGCCCGAGTGGAGGGAGGGTTCGGCGTCCGCGCGGGCGGCTCCCCTTTTGGAAGAGGAGGGGAGGCTCCGTCGGGCAGTGTCGGGCCACCGCATCCCGGAGAGGGAGGATCGAGGAGGTCCTCCTCGATCCTCAGTCCTCCTCAGGAGGTCCTCCTCGATCCTCAGTCCTCCTCGACGAGGTCCTCCTCGATCCTCGAGGAGGTCCTCCTCGATCGATGAGGGGATCGAGGAGGTCCTCCTCCTCAGGAGGAGGGAAGATCGCGGATCGAGTGTGTCTTTTGACGCGCTTGGCCGACTTGGTCAAGGGGGAGCCTCTCGTCTGGCAGCGTTCGCGATTCCCCTGAGGGGTGACCCCACCCCACCCCCCTTGGTATTGCCCCCCCTTGGTATTGCCCCCCCCCTTGGTATTGCCCCCCCGCCCCCCTTGGTATTGCCCCCCCCCTTGGTATGCCCCCCCCCCCTTGGTATTGCCCCCCCCTTGCCCTCCCTTGGTATTGCCCCCCCCCCCCCTTGGTATTGCCCCCCCGCCCCTTGGCATCGCCTGCTCCTCTGGAGAAGCATGGTCGAGGACTCACATGTTCTGGGCGCTGCTGGCCTCCTCGTCGCCTTCGCGCCGCCCCGTCGCATGGTTTCCGTGCTCTCTCTCTCTCTTTCTCTCTCTCTCTGGGCCTCCTCGCCGCCACGGCCGGGCCTGGCCCCGGAGTCTGCCTGGTCCAGGCGCACCCCAGGAGTCAGGAGGGGGTGGAGGAGGAGGAGGGAGGAGGAGGAGGAGGGAGGAGAGGAGGAGGGAGGAGGAGGAGAGGAGGAGGAGGAGAGGGAGGAGGGAGGAGGGGGAGAGAGGAGGAGGAGCACGAGGAGGAGGAGGGAGGAGGAGAGGAGGAGGAGGGAGGAGGAAGGAGGGAGGAGGGAGGAGGAGGGAGGAGGAGGTCCAGGGTGTGGCCTCCCACCCCTCCCACCCCCGGACGGACCCCCCCTGGCGTCCTCGGAGTGAGGGGGCCGAACGGTCGTTCGCTGTCCCCGGGTGCGAGGCTGAAGTGGGCGTCCGCGGTGCGGTTTGTTGTTGTTGTTGTTAATAGAACATTATTACTTCTAAAGAATAATTATTGTTGGGACCCCTGGTGCACGGCCCCCTCGCCGCGCCTAGGCCGCAGCCATGTTTTCATCATTTTCGTGAGGAAGTCTCCGGCAAAACGGGTTGGTCCGGATCCGGTTGTTTTGTTACGGGCGGTTTTCCCTTGCAAAAAATAAGGCAAAGTGGACATTTCTTGTTCTAACATAACCAAACTTCAAGAATCCCTTGCAAAAAATAAGGTAAAGTGGACATTCGCGCGCGCAAGACGAAATCCTTCCAAAACCTTAGTGTTCGTAACGATTTTAACATAAAAACATCAAAAAACCAATGGTTTTTCAAAAAAAAAAGTGTCAAAATTTCATCCCGCGCGCTCTTGCGGATTTGTAGGAAACCCAACACTTTTTAAACATTTCTGTCAAACGGGCTTTTGCGAGCAACTACAGACAGTACCGGCGTCGTACTGGTTTACCGTGGTTTCCTATTCTGGCGTCAGGAACACGTTACCACCAAAAACCAGTACAGGTGTCCAGTGTTGGAACAGGGGGAAAAGTCGTATACTAAGCTAGCGTCCAGAAAATGTTACCACAACAAGTCACTGTACCCATGCGCCAGTGTAGTAGCCACGGTCGTCCGCAGGCCACGAAGTGAAGTGTCCGAACGTCATAGGGCGGGAAGCTGGGTGTGGGTGGTGGCGAAGAGTCGTTTGGAAATGTGGTAGAGCTTGAACCGGCCCCCCCACAAAGTGGGGGTATTGCCCGCCTCCTATGAAAACCCTGGCACTGGTGAGAACGGAGTGTCCCCACGTGCTAGTAATTGTTGTTGTTGTTGTTGTTGTTGTTGTTGTTGTTGGTGTTGGTGTTGGTGTTGTTGTTGTTGTTGTCGTTGTTGTTGTTGTTGTTGTTGATATAGTTGTTGTTGCTGCTGCTGTTGTTATTGTTGTCGTTGTTGTTGTTGGTGTTGTCGTTGCTGCTGGTGTTGCTGATGGTGTTGCTGTTGCTGCTGTTGTTGCTGCTGCTGTTGTTGCTGTTGTTGGTGTTGTTGTTGTTGTTGGTGGTGGTTGTGGTTGTTGTTGTTGTTGGTACTGTCG